AAGGTTGGAATATTGTAGTTCATGCCTCATGGAGTCTCCATAGGAGTAAGGTGACAACCTTCATCTTCAGTAGGACCAGCTTTGTTGGGCCTGGCCTTCCCAAGCCCTCTGGGATCCCTCTTTTCTTTCCTCCCATGCTCACTATTCTGGTAATTCTGCTGGTAATTGCATGGAGGATTCCTACAATGTAAATAGCATCTACAATGGCTGAAGACTGCTATGTATTTATACCCTTGAACTGAAACTTTACCAGGGCCTATAACATCTTCCACCTCCACATCATTTTTTTCCTTCAACAGCATCAAATTACACAGTCTCTCCATCTCCTGCACTGTAAAGGTACTTCCTGAAGTTACTCTTTTATGGCAGTATAGTATACAAATATATCATTCCTGTTGGTTAAAACAAATCTATTCCTCAAAATAAACTTTTTAAGGTTCCTCAAACCTTCCCTGAGTAACTGTGTCCTGTACAACTGTCTGTGGTGCCAGGCACTGTGTCCATAGCACCGAGGGAGGGGCAGAGGGGCAGCAGGCAACTACTTGGCCTCACTGCTCTGACTGCTGAGAGTTTAGTGAAATCCACTGTCTGTTCTCCACTCCCAAGAGAACTCCACTTGTAACTTTTGTTTCCTCTAAAACGTAACTACTGATAATCTGCTATTGATTACATACACAGTGGGTTAACACATACTTTGCATTATGTGTGTGTGTGTATAAATAAAATATATAGTGGAAAATATGCAAGAACTTCAAGAGATCCTTCTTACTGTCATATGAAATTTATTGAAGAGGTGAACTGCTTACAAGAAGATAATTAGTATTTTAAGTGGATACAACATTTGAGCTCACCAAATCAGAAACAGTAGAGGGCTATCAAATTATTATAGTAGCAATGTACGCATTACTACGGTTAATTTTATACATATACAATTAAAACTACAATTTTTAATGGCTTACATTTCTCTCATCTGCAAGTGATGCCATGTGTGGTATGTGTTTGCATAAGTTCTGATAAATTTTAACTTGTTATCAAGTTGGGTATATGCATAGTGGTAAATTATAACAGAGACTATTATCTATATACATTTGATACATTCATGACATGTCTTCTTCTTAGGTTTCTTGATTTCTTTTCTGGGCTACACTGTTCATCTACAAGTTGTCTCAAATTATTGCAAATCTTGAAAAAATCTGCATGTAAGAGGACCTGGGTAGTTCAAACCCAACATGTTGTACAAGGGTCAACAAATCACATGTTAAGGAACAAACATGCTTTCAGCATAGAAGTAGCTTTTTGTATGCTTCTTTTAATTTGTATGCAAAAATATGTTCCCATGGCTCTTATAAATTTCTGGAGCAACAGCAAACAACATGATTACTTAAACATTCTTAAACAGTCAAATAAAAGCTTAAAAACAAGTTAAAATTCCTGTGCTATCATAGGAACTGGTTACCTTTTAATTACCCTTGAAAGAGGGTAATATAAGTGCACAGAAAAATTATTTAAAGCATAAAATTAATTGAAGCATAAAAATAAAAAACTTATACTGTGGAACAAAGAGATATCATAACGATTGCTAATTTTCTTTTTTGAAGATATTTTTAGCTGTAGGTGGACACAATGCCTTGATTTTATTTATTTTTTATGTGGTGCTGAGGATGAAACTCAGTGACCCACACATGCTAGGAAAGTGCTCCACTGTGGTGAGCCACTTCTGCCGTTTCTGCAGACTATGGTCACCATTACAAGATGGCGCTGGCTCCGCTGTGGTCTGTGACAAACAACTCCTTATTTGGGAGAGTTGGCACATGGTTTTTCACCACCCTATGAGAAAGCTCCACGTGGCAGCTTCGCATTGGGGCTTGAGATGCTTTATTAAGGCTGGGAGGGGCATCCGAGGGGAAGAAGAAGAAATATCAGGGGCCTGAATAAACTGCTGAAAGAAGATTCCTGAGTTGCGTCTTCCTTGCGGGCAAGGGGTCGCGACACTCCACCACTGAATCATAACCCCAGCCCCTATTCATTTTCATTCATAGTTAAGAAAACCAAAATACTGAGGGGATGAACCTTTCAAAACTCTACAACTCAAGCCACTGGCAAATTGTAAAGTATTCACTTATGTGTTCAACTATCCATTAAATTCTGGTTGAAAAAGCAATGAACCAGACCAACTAGGCTTCAGAATAGCTTATAATATACTTTAAAAAGATATACAAGGATCTTCCCCTAATTGTCTCTTTCCTATTTGTTCTCCCTTGTCTCTTCTCACACCCCCTTTGCATCCTACAGATGTCTGAACACATGGTGTTCTTTCTCTAGTTTGAAATTTGCTCCCTACTTTCCTGGTCCACTTGGAAAGGTTATATCTAGTCATATTTTAAGAGTTAGCTTAACCTTAAATTCCTCTACAAATACTCCTCTACAAATATAAAACCCTCTACAGAGTCTATGACTTGTTCTTTTATGCCCCCATTTGTATATAGTAGAATACCTATGATATTTTTAAGTGCTTTTTGTTGTGAAGCTTTCATTAATTTAATAAAATTTATTAGTCCCTTAAAAATTTCCATACATTTTTTTCTATTTGAACAGACCAACACATTCTTTGGGGAGCTTACAAATTAGTAAGAACAAACAGTAAACAATTAAATTTAATTACATATAAAAATATAAGGGACTGGGGTTATGGATCAGTGGTAGAGTGTTTGCCTAGCAAGTGTGAGGCATTGGGTTCGATCCTCAACACTACATAAAATAAATGAATAAAATAAATGTCTATCAACAACTAAAAAAGTTTTAAAAAACAAGAATAATAAGGAGAAAGATACTTTTAAGAATTCAAGAGACACAGAAAATGGCCAGGTGTGATGGCATATACCTGTAATCCCAGCAACTCTGCCTGAAGCAGGAGGATCTCAAGTTTGAGGCCAGCTTGGGCATAAAAAGTTATGTGATATGTCTTTTTCTGTTTAATAATTAATTCAATGAAAGCAAGGTTGCTGTCTTATTCATTTTTTATGTCCATTAACTGGAACTGTACCTAGTAATATAGTATTCAATAAACATATGACAAATGGGTGGATACCCCCAGTCAATCTGACCTTGCAATGAAACCAATTATGAGAAAATCCTGAGAACCAGAATATATTCTCCCTTCAATAATGAGATTCAGTTATTTTAAGGGTGTGGTGATGAACTAAGAAATACAAACTTTATTCTAGATATTCAGAAGTAAATAGAATAGTTTTATGGTTTACTCAGAAAATACAATATCCATTAGTCTAATGTTTACAAGTTTCAGTTTACTACAATTAAATAGGCTATCTGCTATATATTGAATTATAATAAGCAAATACAGTAAGATTTTTTAAATCACAATTTTTAAAATAATTATTATTTCCACAGTAATAAATAAAATTCATTTAATAATGTAGAACAGATCTGATATAAGTTAAACCAAGTCTGAAACATTCAAGGTATATAAGACTGATCACAGAATTAAGAAAATCAGAAGTAAGGTATCTTACTTCCAAACTAAGGTTAATCAGCACAATATTTATCACTACCATAGGACTGTTCCCTCAAAATTTAGTTAGCTAATTCCCTAAATTAATTAAAAATTATTTTCCCCTGTATTCCTGATACTTCAAATTATTTAAAACCTTAATTCCAATAATAACCACCCAAAATAATTATATCTATATTGTAATGAGTATTTACCATATGCTACTTTCCAGCTCATATATGGTATCATATTTAATGCTTACACAAATCCTTTTTCTTGATATTAGTATTCACTTGAGATAAGTCAACTAGAAAATGAGCTTCTGAGAGATTGGATTACCTATTCTCACAAGCAATAAATGGGAAAAGAAGAAATATCTGGTTTCAAAGCCTCTGCTCTTCCTATAATAGTATGTCATCTCTCTTTTTTTAATGTCATCTCTCTTAATCTTCATCAAATATATTAATCTATCCAGTATTAAAATTGGGTTGACCGTAATTTTAAATTTATGAAATGATAGCAGATTAAGGGCAAAACTAAAACCCTGAAGATAAACTTTTCACCACTTCAAATATAACCAAATTGCAGCACAAAAAGAGATTAAAATCATGCTTTCCTTCACATGACAGGAGAAAACTTATAAAAATACTTTATTGAACAAGTGATCTAAAATATCAATCCAATTATTTCTAGATCAATCTGTTTTTCAAGTTACGGTTTCAAACATAGAAATAAGTAAAAAAGTTTTTCTAAATCAATATGTCATTTAATATGAGGATAAAATTCCTAATATTTTTAAGTTTGTTATTTTTATTCACAGAACTCTTAGAAATATAAAATGCTATACAGTTATTACTAGAGTGCTATATAATTTATCATTCAAATCTATATTTTTTTCAGAATAAATGTACTAATTACAACAGGACAACAGATTTAAACAGGACTATCCTAGTAACTGGCACACACAGAGGCTCAACTATTGCCTTGGGACTCTTCCGCTATTCATTATTCTGTCAGTCCTTTCGTAACTATACACTGGACAATTATATACATGCCTTCTAGGTAAAATCACTGGCTACATAATTGAGTCCTATAGCATAATGTTAAAAGAGTACTTTCTTTGCTAACTATCTATGTTTTAAAAAGCTATTTTGAGCCAGACACAATGGCTGACACCTGTAATCCCAGTGGTTCAGGAGGCTGAGGCAGGTGGATTGAAAGTACAAACTCAGCCTCAGCAACTCAGTAAGACTCTGTCTCAAAATAAAAAATAAAAAAAGATGGGAGTGTAGCTAAGTTGTTAAAGGTCTCCTGGGTTGGAGCTATATAGTTAAGTGGTACAATTTGGGCTTAGAATGCCATAGGCCCTGAGTTCGATTTCTAGCACATGCACACACACACATACACACACACACACACAGACAAAATTTCAAAAGCCTGTTTCATTAAGATGGTTCACATTTACATAAAACTTCAATAACTTCAACCATACCTCATCCTGAAGTTCGTCACCACTTTTAACAGAAGCAAGCATGTCATATAAAGTACAGCAAAGATCTTCTATTCTTGGTGCTTCAGTCATTTCCTTCAAAGTTGCATTTAAGTACTTTTCAACTTCACACCACAAAAAGGAGCCATTTGTTTTTTCCACAGGCTTGAGCTCTGGGGTGGAATGCTCCTGAAAATGTTCATTCAGAAACTTTCTGTAATCTAGGCTTATAGTTTTCTGGGCTTCACCATTTATTGGCAGTTCGTCAAAGTGGTCCAGATCATGCATGTCAAATGAAAATGCTAAATTTTTACCAAAAAATGCTGTATCACTAGATTCCTTTTCTGTCTTCTGGACAAGAGCAGTAAGATCATCTTGATTAAAATGAGAAATGATTCGATTAGTGGCACTACAAGCTGTAGTAGCAGATGATGATGGAAAGGGACCAAACATCTGTTTGATAGCCTTTGTCTCCATGTGACCAACAGAATCCGTCAAGTGAAATGTCATAAACAGAAATGCAGCCCCACTTTCAATTGCTTCTCTCCCATTATCTGTTCCAACTATTCAAAAACAAAGAAACATTATTAGCTCAATTGAATCATGATTCAACTTACAATTTTCAAAATAAAATAACTACAAACATTTTGAGCTAAATCCCAACAGTCAAAACATACTAAGGAAAACAGTCAATTCAGGAGCAGAAAAATCTGTGCCCAAATTCCTGAAGAATTATCCTAGGTAAATAAACCATTATCAGTAATTAATCTACATATAAGTTCAGAAACTACCTAACAACAATCCTTTCTTAGAAGAATTTATAACACTAGCTTAAATTTATTTAAAACCAAACTTTAAAGACTGATTTGATGAGCTACTTAAATAAACCATAATAAGTGCAAAAGAAAATCTGAATTATAGACTTATGGAACTGGAGCAAAATCCCAATAATATATAACTGCCTTTCCAATTTGTACCATAAACATACATGGCAAAAGACAGATTAGACAGATAGACAGATAGACAGATAGATAGAAGTGAGCTAGCTCTCATTCAAAAGCATGTAATATAACCAAGTCTGAATATAATTAAAGAGCCATATGATAAAGCATAAAAGAAAGCTGCTATTTAAAAGAGACCAGAAGGAAATTCCTCATTACATAGAAGGTAAAGGAACAGCTCCTAATTTCTTTAAGACTTACCTTCTCATATCCAATTTTCAGAAAGAAAAGAACCTGTTATTTGTGACAGATAATTTCAAAGAATATTGTTACAACAGAAAAAAAAAAAAAGAACTGAAACTTTCAAGAGGTCCTAAAGTCAATGTGACCTACCTAAAGTAATAGTGGCAAAGTTAGTAATATAATTAACACTGGTACTTTACTGAAAGCATGGCTCTGATATTATCACTCACAAATCTTAAACAGCTTACACAGCTGGATCCAGATTCCTACATACTTGGAAACTGAACTCATCACTTTTTTTTTTTTTTCAGTCTTATTGGCTGTTATATATTTTCTGTTCTAATCAAAAAGGATTTTTTAACATTCAAAATCATCCCACCAGGTATGGTAACACCTATAGTCCCAGCTTCTCAGGAGGCTGAGGCACAAGGCACTTGAGCCAAGGAATTCAAAGCAAGCCTGGACAATATAGGGAAATACTGTTTAAAAAATAAATTAATTAAAATTTTTAAAGTTGGGGGGAAAAAAAGAGATCTTATGCTATGCTTAAGTCCTCTCATATACTTATTTGTCTTCTCCCACAGCCTCTGATTGTTCCAAATCCTGCCCACATTTACAATTCCAAATTTCAGTTGCCTGTTTCAAGGACTGTACAATGTTGTAGATTTTTTTTTAATCTCTTCACTGTAACTAGTTACATATGACAATTGGTTGATTTACACTAAACACAGGCCTCACTGACTACATTTTTACACTACAGCACAATGCCTCAGTAACATTTTTACTATATTGATACAGAAGAGTAACAGTTTATATGTGTGAAAATAAACCATTTTATAATATTATTCCTACTTTCTTTAAATATGAAGTCTTGACTTTTATTATAAGTTAATTTATAGAACACAGGCATACAATTTTTCCTCTTGTATTTAAGAAAACACATGAAAAGAAGCTGGTGTGGTTGCTCAGCAGTAGAGCGCTTACCTAGCATGTGTGAGGCACTGGGTTCGATTCTCAGCACCACATATAAATAAAGGTCCATCAACAAATAATAAAATATTGAAAAAACTCTATAAACGATATAGTGCTTTTAAATTAATTGAACGGGACTTTGTACATTTGACTTATTCATTATGTACCTTTCACTTCTTGGAGATTTAGATTTAGGATATTTAGGGATTGTGATAATTCTACAGATAATTAAACAAGTTTGGTACTACTGATATTAAACTCTGAGCAAAAATGGAATTAACATTTACAAACTCATTCTATATCTAAATTATAAATATACAGGCTTTTGTAAAGATGCCATTATCATCATTTTTCAAGTTGTATGTTTATAAAACAATATACTATAAACTTTCACAATATTATCTCCACTTTATAGATGCTAAAATGCAAACAGTTTGAAATTTTGGGTCAGATCAAACAACTAAATCATTAAACAAGATTCACAGCAATCTTAATTTCTAGACAAAAGTTCTTTTCACTACATCACACTGATTCCCTGTAAATTCCTAGAAACTAGATTTATGTCTAATTCTTATTTACTAAATAAATTTAAATAAATCTTGGGAAATTATGCAATAAAGTCCTACTATATCATTAAAATGGGATTAACTTAAATATTCACTAATAAATTAATGGTTAATTATGGTATAACCATAAATGGCATTCCTTAAACATGGAGGATTTACATATCTTGCCATAAAGAAAACACATTAAAAAGTAATGAGTCCATTTTATTTATTTTATTTTTATTTATTTAGCAGTAGCAGGGATTGATCCCAGGGGTACTCTACCATTGAATACCCCTTTTTGTTTTTAAATTTTAAGACAGAATATCACTGAGGACCTCTTTCTATTTTTAAATTTTAAGACAAGATATCACTAAGCTGTCAGGGCAATCCTCAAACTTGGGATCTGTCTCAGTCTCCTGCATAAATGGAATTACAGGTATGTACCACCAGGCCTGACACAAGTCCGTCTTTTAATAAAAGGAAAATACACGTAGACTCAGAATATATTTTAAAAAAAGATTATAGCATTTTAGGAATATAAAGATTTTTAATGTGCATTTTAATGTAATATTTTATTAACAAATATTTGTCTTGCCTACTTCACAGTTATAAGATTTGAAAATACTTTAAAATTTTTAAACTTAGTTGAGTAGTGGTGCTTCATAAATGTTCACAGCCTTACATAATGACTAGCTCTTCTTCCGTGCAACTCAATCAGATGTCCAAGTTAGACTTAAAATTAAAACCCACACATGTTCACTTCACATAGCAGTTTCTCAAAAATGAATCTCTATGCACCTGCACTATGCTAGTCTGAGAACTCAGATGAAATCTAAGAACCTCACTAGCATTTGTTGCCACAAATAGCAACCCAACAAAGACGCATTCTGAAAACAATGGGTTTCCCAGGTCTAAGGCACAGGAGGACTTGTGGTTGTGCAGTGGGCCAGCAACCACTCAAGGGTGTCTCCCAGATCCACCAAGGGGACCTGAGCTCTAGTGCTTGGTCCGCATTTAATGACGTAGTTGACCACGAGTATCTGCTGTCAGCCTACTGACCGGATGAATGGGCTGATCATTGGAGGACAATTCTAGGCATTGTAGAAGAGAAGGTGGTACCCCAACTGGCTGGTATAACCAACCCATTAAGCCAGCGGTCGTTTGGCAACTGAAATATATGACTAGTGTTTGTAAAACACAGATAAAGTATCTGAGGAGTGAATTATCTAATGTACCAAAGTTCTGCAGGCCCCACCCTCATTCTAAAAAGGTAAATTGTCAGAGGAAACCTAGGTGCTTTACTCTTAACCAAGTGAATTTACTCCAAAGAGCAAAACAGAAAACTTGGGTTTTCTTCAGGAAGGGGCAGCCTCAGAAATAGCATGTGATATGCTTCCAGAATACAAATCTGTAATTAGTCATGCCCTTGTTTTCTAAAGTGCATCCAAAACCGGACATGTTACATTAATTGTGAGAATCTTGTTCCCAATTAACTTATTTACTTTTCTTTATACTTACACAAATTTTGTACTGAATTATCTTTTTAAATGGCCGGGCTCAAGTTAACATCTGCATTAAATTTCTCAAGCTTTTTCTATCTGCTTATACTCTTGTACTCTAAAAGGACTGGGATTTTAAGTTGTCTAGTTTTGGCCACAAGATATTTTAATCAAAACATATTAAGTAACCAATTGGCAAAAGTGTCAAGAAATTTCAGAACTTAAAGCTTTTAATGAAGTTAGTCTAGAAATCTAACCACTTGGATATCTAATTTTCTATCCATAAATCAATGAAAAAACCTAAAAAAAAAAAAAAAAAAAAACAAAAAAAAACTGGCTACAATACTTCAACTGCAACACATTTAAAGAGAGGGACTCAGAAAGACACTGGAATACTTTTTTTTATTAGCAAATATTTGCCTTGACGACTTCACAGTTATATTGTGAGCAATGAGATGTGAAATGCAGAGTAAACTATAAAATATTTCTCAGAATACTAAGAAAAAAATCAAAATAAGTGAAATAGTCTTGCCATAAATAACTAAGTGAAGAGCAGGATTTGAATTCAATTTATCTGGCTGATTGGAGCATTCACATTACAAGTCATCTTTAACCTTTAAAAAAGCCCTAAACCTTATGTAGAACTTTAGCATACAAAATGAAATAGTTGGTATTTTATTTATTACTTCAAGTTATACAATGGATTTTTTTAAATTAAAGAGTTGAGGAATGGCTACAATCTTGAATCATTCTCAACACAGTTTATGTCTCCATTTTCCTTTGATTGCAAAATATTAAGAATTAAATAATTGTAAATTGTCTTTTCAATAGTCTGCCCTAATAGTTAAGAAATCCATGAAAAGAATGAGTAAAAATTTTAACTGAAAATTACATAAAAATATTAACTACTTACATCATTAATTGATAAGCATTCAATTTAGAAGCTGTCAACAAACTCCCTGTCCAGTTAAATCTTCACCATTTAGTAGAAAATGTTTTACAAATATCTTTTCTACTTATATTTTAATATTGAAATGTTCAAAACACTCAATTATTTTTCATTTTTATGTCCAAACTTTAAATATCAGTTTTACCCCAACACTTGATCTGCAATTGTGAAAAACAATGTATTACAATCCTACATTATTTACAAAAGCTCATTCAATTTATTAAAAATCAGCAAGACAGGCAAAACTGGTATAAAAATGTTATATATGAATAGAAAATAGCTACCTGACATTTTAATTTGATTACAATGTTTCTTTTAAAAATATATATAATATTTGAACCTGTGTCTTAATGTCCTAAGTCATTACATGTAACAAAGTACATTACACATAACAAAATACAAAAACAATTA